CAAATAATGAGAAGGTTCAACATTTGTGGATCTTAATATCAAATTTAGACTTAGACTTAGACAGACTACTAGAAAAGAGTAGCTCACACATCACAATATATTATACCTAATAACAAAGAGCAAAAATATGAATGGTAATAAAACTAAATAATTAGTACCATAATAAAAAATAGCAAGAAACTGGTGTCAAATAAGACATACTTATATAAATGTACAAGCAAAAAAATGAAATATAGTAATATAAATACAGTATATCACATGCATTCATTCTTGTTGATTTATAGGCATAGTCACATCAGCCTTGGGGCAGACAGACATAAGTGTGGCCGCCAACCTGCGCATTTACCCACTCTGACCACCAACACAGTAGGGTTAAAAGGTGGTGTAATGTCTCTTCTAAACGATTTCATGTCTTGACTGTGCAGTTTGTGATGTTGTGGGTTCCTCTCTTAAATAAATCCAATTTTTGGCTCAGGTCCAGTCTGTGCTCAGACCAAACACAGACACATGCACCTGGAGGCAAGATGCATTGTGTAGTAAACACAGTGTTTATGAATCACTCTGGAGGCCAAGTGCACTGTACAGTTTAACAACAGAGGAGTTTTTTTTTAGAAATTCTTGTACCTGTAGTTTTGACCTTTACACACATTCTAAAACTTGTATAATAGCTGGAGATGTTTACAATTTGCACAGAAAAGAATCCTACTTTTTAAACATATACTGCAAATGTAATCGCAACTGTAGTACTTGTAATAATACTTGCACTTGCACTTAAATACACATGCATCATTTATTCACTCTGGTTTATCTATAGTATAGTCACATCAGTCCTGCGACAGATTGACAGAAGTGTGGCTGCCAATTTAAGCTTTTACCCACTCCGACCACCAACATAGCAGCATTACAAGGTGGTGTAATGTCTCTTCTAAACAACTTTGTGTTTTGATTGTGTAGTCTGTGATGTTGTGGGTTCTTCTCTTAAATAAATCTGACTTATTTAAGTTAGATTTAAATAAGTTATACAAAAATTTCTATGTCAATTTTGATACTAAGGAAGAGACTCGTTACTCAGTAGTGATTCCGTTTATTTGGACAATAGAATGTGCTTTTCAGACTTCTTCAATCAAACTTTAAATCATAGTACTTTCTTTTATATTTCCCTGTGGTCTTATTTATGTAATCCCTCAGTGGTCCGGGTAGGTTTCATAGTGGTCCATGTGCTCTTATACTTGTTCTGATACAGCTTAAAATCATTCTAATACTGTTCAGGAAAGGCTAATTTCTGTCCTGCAAATTAGACTTTTTAAGTATTGATATCTGGTTAAATGAGTACGTAATTTCGATCAAATTTAGTATCGATTAGTATTTGATTTTTGATACTTTTGACAGCCCTACTACGTTAGGTTAGGTTAGGTTGCTTTATTTGTACCCGTAGGTAAATTTGTTTTGTAGATTTGAGTGGCAGGTCCCACATTTCACATTTGACTCATCCACATCATCATCAATAAACAAGTCTAGTTAAATTCATTCATCACACTTGACTAAAATCACAATAAATATTAAATATATATAAAAAACACACGATTTTTCCAAGACAAACATACTAAAATTGATAGATAAATGGATTACAGTTTATTCATAATTATGATAGAGGCTGGAATGACTATGTATTTTGTCTGTGTTCATGCAGTGTTAAGGCGAATTAAAGTGTAGTTATAAAGTGGTACCAAACAGCGCCGGCCTGCTGTGAGTGTCTAAATCGCAGTATAATGATGAAATGCATTTTATACGTGAGTTGTTACGGATGCTGTTTACCATATTATTTACATATACTGCCACACCCGAGCTCTTCCTTTATCATTCACAATTATTCCTCAACTGTTTGGATGAAACTTCAAACTAACTTGTGCTGCTGCTGTTGGCTCAGGTCCATATCCTCAAACAGACTGTGCAGCCGCTCGGGGCTCAGCGATGTATCAGAATATTAGCCCAGTGTCTGTGTGTACAACAGTCCAGGCAAATATAATGCATAAACAATCCACAATAACAAATTTTGAAGTGCGATATATATCTTCAAACTATACTATTGAAACCAAACGATGAATCAGAAATATCCCCCAAAAGTATTCTAAATGCAAAATATTGTTGTGGGCTGCAATAAATAAATAGCAGAATGCACTTTTGTAATTAGATTGTTTAGTTTTAGTTCATAACTCAACCTTCTACAGCTAAAACGTGATCAAATTACCATCCAAGATAAGTCGATATAGTAATTATTGTGGCCTAATGATGCACTTTTATTTTACAAAAAGTAGTATCTGAAGTGCTCAGTGATAGAGACAGGGAGTGCTCAGTTACATTTTACTTGAGTAACTTTTTATTGAGGAATTGTACTTCTTGGGGTAGTTTTTGGACCATAATTTTACTCCAAGTTTTTTTATTTAAAGTAACAAACCTCTTACTTGAGTCAAAGTTGTGGTTACTTTTCCCACTGTGAGTGAGTCTGCAAGTGATAAAAGCTTTTGTGATACTATGAAATGATGTGATGAACGTTTGTTTTTCTTGTTTTGTTTTTCTCAGATATGTTGTCATTTTTTTCATTTACCTATTGAACTTATAGATCAAAGATTATGAGTAGATGTATTACAAGTAGTAGTTTTCCAAAATACCTTTTTACTCTTACTTGAGCAATATCAATCATTCAATCAAACTTTATTTATAGAGCGCTTTTCATACAAAAAATGCAACACAAAGCGCTTGTAAATGAATGAATGAAGCGATGTAAAGAACGATTGTTGTCTAATAGTGTAACAAATAGAAATGTTTAAACTAAAAAACAACCAAGTATTGATTGACACAAGCCCAAACCTTTAGACAATACTTAATCTTGTTATTACTACATTACCACACCCATACAGGACCAGGAGCCTATTCCATCCATGTACAAATCTATAAGAAGAAAACAACTTGTTCCAGTGACTCCTTCACCTTTTCATGCACCAACATTTAGCTCTACTTTAACTGAATTTGTTTGTTTGAATTGTCTGTTTAATGTGTTACTATAGGAGACATAGAGGAGACATTGAGTTTCTGTAGAATTATTCTAGTATTGTTAAAATAAGGACTATTAGTCTTTTTAATTGACATGCCCATTTTTTTCCACATGACTGTACTTAGAATATACTGTACACAAATCATCATGAGGTGCAATATCGAGGCATTTTTAATTCAAATATTTTTGTATTTTAGAATAATTACGCTTTGTATTGTTAAAATAAGACCAATTAGCATTTTTAATTGACATGCCATGAATTGATCCCGGTGACGGTAGATAGAATTGACCAAATGCAAACCACAAGGGGCAATAATACAGTGATTTTAGATGAATTAGCTTACCTACTATTGTAAAAAATAAAAGGTTTTAGAATAATTAGTTTAGTATTGTTAAAAAAAATAATAAGCACCATAGTGATTAGGCTATTTTATTGACATGCATGTGACAGTAGCTAGGATAGATCGTACAACCACGAGGTGCAACAATATGGTGATTTTATATTAGTCTCCCTAGTATTGTTTAAAATAAAGAAGTTTAGCATAATTATCTTAGTATTTAAAAAAATGTATATGCACCATTGGGATTAGGTTATTTAACTGACATGCAATAATTTTTCCATGTGACAGTAGCTAATATAGACCGTACACAAACCACGAGGTGCAATAATATGGTGATTTTATATTAGGATTCCTAGTATTGTTTAAAATAAAGGAGTTTAGAATCTTAGTATTTAAAAAAAAAATGTACATGCACCATATGGGATGAGGTTATTTAATTGACATGCTATAATTTTTCCATGTGACAGTAGCTAGAGTCCGTACACAAACCACGAGGTCAGGTGCAATAATATGGTGATTTTAGATTAGCCTTCCGAGTATTGCTTAAAATAAAGGAGTTTAGCATAATTATCTTAGTATTCAAAAAAAAAATGTATATGCACCATAGGGATTAGGTTATTTAACTTGACATGCTATAATTTTTCCATGTGACAGGAGCTAGAGTAGACCGTACACAAACCACGAGGTGCAATAATATGATAATTTTATATAACCTTCCTAGTATTGTTTAAAATAAAGGAGTTTAGAATCTTAGTATTTAAAAAAAAATGTACATGCACCATATGGGATGAGGTTATTTAATTGCCATGCTATAATTTTTTCCATGTGACAGTAGCAAGAGTCTGTACACAAACCACGAGATCAGGTGCAATAATATGGTGATTTTATATTAGCTTCCAGTATTGTTTAAAATAAAGGAGTTTAGCATAATTATCTTAGTATTTAAAAATGTTATATGCACCATTGGGATTAGGTTATTTAACTGACATGCTATAATTTTTCCATGTGACAGTAGCTAAGACCGTACACAAACCACGAGGTGCAATAATATGGTGATTTTATATTAGGATTCCTAGTATTGTTTAAAATAAAGGAGTTTAGAATCTTAGTATTTAAAAAAAAAAAAGTACATGCACCATATGGGATGAGGTTATTTAATTGCCATGCTACATTTTTTCCATGTGACAGTAGCAAGAGTCCGTACACAAACCACGAGATCAGGTGCAATAATATGGTGATTTTATATTAGTCTTCCTAGTATTGTTTAAAATAAAGGAGTTTAGCATAATTATCTTAGTATTTAAAATGATTTATATGCACCATTGGGATTAGGTTATTTAACTGACATGCTATAATTTTTCCATGTGACAGTAGCTAAAATAGACCGTGCACAAACCACGAGGTGCAATAATATGGTGATTTTATATTAGGATTCCTAGTATTGTTTAAAATAAAGGAGTTTAGAATCTTAGTATTAAAAAAAAAATGTACATGCACCATATGGGATGAGGTTATTTAATTTCCATGCTATATTTTTTCCATGTGACAGTAGCTGGAGTCCGTTCACAAACCACGAGGTGCCATTATAAATACATGGGCCATCATACCTGGATGGTGCATGAGATCTCCGAGTCGTCCAGTAGCCGGATCGTGCAGCGGATCTCCGGGTCCAAAGATCGGAGGCTGGGGCTTCGGAACCGGAGCATTTTCATCCTTGAGTCGGTCCCCGGTTTAGTCCCGGTTACAGTCTCTGGTTCAGCTCCTCATGTCAGCGCACACCCGTGTTTACCGACTGAAAGACACGGGTGAAAAAGAAGGCGTTGCGTGCGCTCTCCTCCGCGGTGTACGCTCCCGAGACGCCCTTAGGAAAGAAATGAGAGGACTGTTGATGGAGAGATGGTAAAATGGGGAAGCGGATGGATGCAAAGCGGTAGAAAAGGAGGAGGAGAGCGTGCGTCTGTCTCCCGCTGTCCACTGCTGTATGCACGGAGAGGGCAGGGCTATAACCTCGCGCTCTCTCACCTATTTCCCATCATTTCACCTGCCCCCGTCTACTAAATATAGCAAATTACAATTTTTTTTTGTTTCTGTTAATATTTTTACCATGTATTTTCATAATCGGTGATTGTATTGGCTACGATATTGACACGTTAAATAATAGTAAAAAATAATAACGTTAATTTTAAGCTAATATTTTCGTGATTATAACAAACACAGCACACTAGTATGACTTGCAATAATAAAAAAAATAATAATAATAATAAAAATAATAATAAAAAAAAAAAAAAAAAAAAAAAAAAGCATTCACGCCATGATTTACGTACGGTTGTAGCTGATAATTTTTACCGATATTGCCTGTAATTACATTTAGATTTTTTTTAAAATATTATAATAAATATATTTAACTATAAACAAACGCAAGCTTTTATTTAAATATATTTTAATTATAAAAGCTCATTGTTGAAACGTCTGGTCGGCTTTAAGAGTTACGTTTGTGCTTACGTCACCACGTCGTAAACCATGCGCTTCCGCCTCAGTCCACAGTCCAGCAACCAACATGGTCATTTTACACACAAACTTTGGTAAATAACAACTGTTGTGCATGGATTAACAAGGTACAAGCTGCAAAAATAGCCCGTGCTCTGTCGTGTGAAACGCTGGTGTAAAAATTGTTGTATTACGTGGCTGCTAAATAGCTTTTGTCACTTAATTACGTGATAATAACGCTAATGTTTGTGTCATTTCTAGCTGGCTGGACTGAACAGGTGCCTGCAACATCATGATTTACATCTTAATGGGAGTGTCCGGGTGTGGAAAGTAAGTTTATGAATCTGTATGATGGGTTAATAAATTATTGGGTTAATAAATATTGTTGATCAGGTTTTCAGAATCAAAAACTGAGATATCCTTGGTTTGGGTTGGTTGGTAATAATAAAATTGTGAAAGGAAAATTGTTCTGCACTCGGCCCATGTGAGTCAGCGTAGTCACATTTTCTTTGTGTTTTGGTCATTTTTAAAGCAGCTTTTCTATATTTTACCTAAACAAATGACAATGTATGCCTCTTTTTACTGTTGGCAAGGATCAGATTTGTCAAAAATAGGGACACCTGGGACATTTCTTGCATGAAACTGGGACAAATCAATGATTGTGTTTACATGCACATCAGTATCCCGGTTATTAGCCATATCCCAGTTATGGCAGTATTTGGGAAACCGAGATACTCATATTCGTGTGTACATGATCAAACAGAGTATCCCAGTTTCTTGACATAATCTTACAAATGCGCAAAAATTAATTTAATTTAAGTTAATAAACCAGGAAAAATACAAACAACCATGAGCTCCTTTAGCATAGGAAGCTGGGGAGGGTCTAACCTTATGTTGGTCACTTTATTTATGTGCTACTGTTGTGGTAAAAAGACTGGAAAGTATTTGTCTTTTGGACACATGCGCACTCAACTTTATGTAGCAGTAACCGGGATACTGCGTTTACATGCCACAGTATCCCGGTTACTATTGGAATATACCAGGATACTGCCATAACCGGGATACTGAAACCGTTTACATGCACCATGACAAAACCAGGATACTCAAAAAACCCAATCATAACCGGGATGCTGATGTGCATGTAAACACACTCAGGGGTTTTGTATAAATCTGCTGGGACAGGGGACACAGGGTTCAAAACTGGGACTGTCCCGGGTAAATAGGGACGTCTGGTCACACTCTGTTAATCGGTGCAACTTTTAAATGTTCAGGAGAGGAAGAGGGGAGTCTGTCTTCATGGTTATTGCTTTGCCTGGAATGTTTTACTGTATGGAATTTAAATTATCTGTGTCCATGCATAAAACAATTTAGAAAAGTTACGTAGTGCACATTTAAGGACAAACTGGTAAATTGCACATACCAGTCTAGTTTATCTTGAAAAGTAGGTTAAAAAAATAAACAGGGCTTGATATGAACCAACCACATTTTAATGGCTACCACCACGTTCAGTCCCACTAACCTGTTGAATCCCCCTCCTATTTTAAAGCTGCAATATGTACCTTTTTCGGTGAAGAGTCTGCCACTTGCTTGTCGCCATAGAGATGTTATTGCTTTCCCTGGAATGTTCCACAGTGTTTTATTCAGCTAATCTCCATCCTTAAAGTGGAGAGGCGAATCCACACTCAGTAATCCAGGATAGATGTTTAATGCCATAGTGTGGAACATTCCAAGCAAAGTATTATCATCTCAATGGACTGAGCAGATCTCAGACCCACCAAAAAATATACGTACATATTTAGTCCACATTTAAAGTTATACGTATTTGTGGACATAGAATTTTTAAAGGTACACTGTGCAATACTCACACTCTTACTTGAGGGTGGGCTTGCCTCTTCACAGATCTGACCCATAACCTGGTCTGGTTGCACCTTTAAAGATGTTATTATTTCAAATTATACCAGGGCCAATATTTTGAAATGGCATTATAAACCTTTTGTAACTCTGTCCTTTGTCATAGGAGTTCTTTAGGGGCTCTCCTCTCTCAAAAGGTGAGTTAAAACACACTACTGTTTGTACCACTTCTTATGGTACATGATTTTAACTTTCTTGCTTTCTGTCTCTGCAAGTTTGGTTGGCCCCTTCATGAAGGAGATGAGTTCCACCCTCTGGAGAACATTGAGAAGATGGCCCGAGGAGAGCCGCTCACAGACCAGGTGAGGATGTGATTTTTGCCCATTAAAATGTGACGCAGGGCTACAAGTTTTGTCAAAATCTAATTAAAATTCAACCTAAGATGCCTTTAGTTTTATTAACGTGTTCTGTTGCAGCACCAGATGGCTCACAGTCAGATATATTAAGTAGTTTCAGATTATTGCTTAACGATTTATTATCTCACAGGCCTTTCTGTTCAAATAAAAAGAAAACTACAGATCAGAAATGTTAAAGGTGCAATGTGTAACTTTTCTGGTTGTGGCTCCATCACCTGCTTGTCTTCATGGAGAAGTTATTGCCTTGCCTGAAATGTTCCACAGGCATTTCATTTGCAGCCCACAGGTCAAGTTACAGGTCAGATCTGTGGAAATAAGAACAATAAGAATGCATCTTTTAAAGGTTTTAAGCAATAAAAACACCTGCAATTAAATAAATATAAGATATATACATTTAATTACATACTGTGGAACCAGAAAAGGTACATAGTGCACCTTTAAATGTTCAGAATTTTATTTATTTTTTTATGTTAATTTATAAGATTTGAAGCAAGTATCATTTAATGCTTGTGTCCTGCAATGTTAATGGGATCATTCTTATATTGACATTCAACTTTCAACTTTATTATTGTCCCAGAGGGAAATTATTGTGTCATACAGTAGACATTAGGGATGTAATGATATCCAAATCTCTAGGTACGATATTATCACGATATGCATCTCACGGTTCGATATTTATTGCGATATTTTTAAGAGGCTGATATAATTGCAGATAGGAAACTTTTTTGCTTTTAAAATACCTTGACAAGAATTTGGTGTGAATTATTTTTGTCATAATCCCAAGAATTCAAGTAAAAAACATACAACTTCATGTTGTCTGCACTGAAATGAATCATGGGATATGTAGTTCCCTATGTTTATTAACTAGTGCTACTAAAAAAACATGCATTTAAGCAGAGAAATTTGTAATTCGATATATTGTGACAGCCCACAGTATTATTGTGAGACTTTTAGCGATACAATATCACGCTATTTCGGTTATAGTTACATTCCTAGTAGACATACAACACAGTTCAATAATAGACTAAACCACAGCTTAAGTTTAGCTCGACAATGCAGACATACATTCCCTTACAAACAGGCAAAAAAAGAACAGGAGATGTAACTGTATTTCACCACAACTGATCCAAGCTATAAGAGGATTCATCCTGGTTATGGCTTCAGAAATAAAGGAAGTCCGAGCTTTCTGAGTTCTGATCCGGGGCATTCTCAGACGCCGCCTAGAAGGAAGGAGGTTAAATTCTTCTAAGAGAAGATGGTCAGGGCTCCCCCTTATTTGTTGGGCCTTGCAAATCAAATCTTTTGTAGTGAAGTGTTTTGTTTTTTCTTCAGGACAGGTTTCCATGGCTCCTCAAACTGCATGAAGTCATAGAGAGGTAAGAGTCCACACTGCACTACACTATAGGGCTGCAGTCGACTAAAGAAATACTTGGATGTCTAAAAAGAGGACATGACAAAAGTTCTTAAAACAATTTTGTATCTTTGTGTATCTGACACAAACTGTACTCACAAGACTACACCTACAGGGGGATCTCATGCAAAAACTACTTTTTCAGACTATAAATTGCTTCAGAGTATAAGTCACACCAGCCAGAAAATGCATAATGAAGAAAAAAACATATATAAGTCGCAATGGACTATAAGTCGCACTTTTTGGTGGAAATTTATTTTATAAAATCAGAGACCAGGAACCGACATTTCACCTTGGAAGTCAAGTTAACAGACTGTTGCTCTCTGTTCCAGTCACATATGAACAGTTCTTCAGATAACTATAGCATAAACAACAGAACAGAACAAGTTTACCAAACTCTGCAGCTCACTCCAAATCACTAAATCCATTCAATTCTTCATCCTCGGTGTCACTTCTATGTAACTCCGTGACCTCCGGAGGTAAACAGAGCGCCGCTTCCTCTTCTGTGTCGCTGTCGTCAGACTCAGCATCAGTTCCAGTTAAAATTATTCCAGTCTTTCTGAATCCCGACAGGATGGTTTCGGTGTCACTGAAGTCCAGGTTTTGTTGATCCATCCAGTGACTTTCAGGAAAGTTTCATGGTGCAGCCTCCTGGTTCCTGTGAAGCTGTGTTCTCCATCCCCGCCTTTTGCCAGTTACAAATTTCTCACTCATTCCAAACTTTCTTTTTGCTGCTCGATTACCATTTTTGGCTGCATATTTCACTATTTGCAGCAGGACAGAGGCTCTTTCTGCAGGAGACATGCGCAGTAGAGCCAAGTGACAGTGTTACAGGAGGAACAGGAGCAGCAGATACTGACACACAAGACTAGAGCCTCTCATGGCTGTCAGTGTATGAGTCGCACCGGAGTATAAGTCGCAGGACCACCCAAAACATGAAAAAAGTGTGACTTATATTCTGAAAAATACGGTATTTATGCAGAAAATTTTTCAGTTAACTCACTTTCTGCTCTTGTCCCATAGAAATACTTACAATCTAAATAAAATAATTAGTACAATACAAATCTTGGTCGACCTGGACACAATGGACCAACTAAGCGACTAAATGACTAAAGTCTACAGCTCAAGTACACTGTTTTAAAGGTGCATTGAGTAACTTTTCTGGTCAAGTGCTTTCAGACCAAGTTACCAGCCAGATCTGTGGAAAGGCGACCCCGCTCACAGTCAGAATGTTGTTTTTCTAAGTATTTTTGCGCAGTAAAACCACCTGTATTTTAATAAAGTAAGGCAAAGCTGTTTAAAGTCATACTGTGTCAGACAGATGAGGGGCTTCAGTGCTGGTGTGTGAATCGGGGTGAAAAGCAGAGAGTGGTGAGACGAAAGAGAAAGATTAGTGCTTTTTTTTTTTCCGGCGCGTTTTCAAAGAGCTGCTCATCTGCAAGTCTTTTACAGCATGACTGATACACACAGACTGTTTGTGACCGCGGGTTAGTTCAGCTCTCATGACCTGGAAAAGTTTGGAAAAGAGGTTTATAAGTTTTCTTGTTTTGATGCTTTGGGCTGGAATGGGATCTGTAGTTTTATTGAAATATGTAAAAGAACAAAAGGTGCATCGTGTAACGTTTTAGGTGGAGCGTCTGTCTAAAGCTTTTCTCCGTGGAGATTATTGTTATTGTTTTGTCTGGAATGTTTCACAGTGTGGCATTACACCTTTCTATCTTCCAAACCAGACCAAGTTACAGGCCAGATCTGTGGAGAGGCGACCCCGCTCACAGTCAGAATGTTTGTTTTTCTAGGTATTTTTGAGCTATAAAACCATCAAAGTGAATAAATGTAAGGTAGAGCTGTTTAATGTCACACTGTGGAACATTCTCAGCAGAGCAATGATAATTTTTTTTTGCTCATAAGCTTTAGCCATATACAAGATGCCTAATTTTGCACTGAAAATAAGGATGGGATGATATTCGTAAGTGTAAGGCTCTGCTCCACGTTGTTTAATCCGCTTATGCCACGGTCCCACCAACTGAAAATAGTAGTTCCCTTTTAAATCTGACATTTTGACTGTTTGTGGATGTTCAAAGCATTTGTTATTTTTATTTTAGCTGAAGCAGGTCCCTCTTGACAGTAGTTTATTTGTTCAGCGAGGGATAAATGAAAGAACAATGATTACCGTATTTTCCGCACTATTTTGGGTTGTTTTATATGGTTGGGAAAGTTTGAGGGAAGTTTTTGGTGACAATCCACTTTATTTCCAAAGTGCTGCACAAATACATAATAATAACAACAATAATAAGATGATAAAGTAAACTACTAAAATAATAATAGTCTGAAAATAATAAAAACAGTAAAATAAAATAAAAACAAATAAATAAACCAATAAATAAATAAAACCAATAAAAACACATAAAAATAAATATAAAACACAGAGGACCACACAACTCACGCGGTGTTAAAAGCCAGAGAATAAAAGTGGGTCTTAAGACGAGGTTTAAATCTCTCCACAGTGGGTGATGTTCGAACGTGGACTGGCAGAGTGTTCCAGAGTTTAGGGCCGACCACAGAGAAGGCCCTGTCCTCCTGGTTTTAAGTCTCGTCTTAGGCCCCCTGAGCTGGAGCTGGACCTCAGACCTCAGAGAGCGCCGGGGTATAAATTTGGATGAGGGGCCAGTCCATTCAAAGCTTTAAAAACAAACAATAAAATCTTAAAATCAATTCTAAAATTAACAGGAAGCCAGTGCAAAGACGCAAAGATTGGGGTTATGTGCTCTCTCCTTTTTGTTCCTGTTAAAAGTCGCGCTGCAGAGTTTCGGACGAACTGTAGACTGTAAAGTGGGTTTTGCGAAGTGCCGGAAAAAAAGTGCATTACAGTCGTTCAGGCGTGATGAAATAAAAGCGTGCGTAACTTGTTCAAAAAGTTTAAAAGATAAAAAAGGTTTAACTTTAGATAAAAGCCGCAAATGATCCTCGAGAATATGTCATGTCAGCCTGCCTCTTTACATTCTTTACTTTGTTCAAAACTACCTTTATCTCAATCATTAGATACATTTTCTTTAAATCCAGTGATTAAACACTCATTTAAAATCTGGGCACAATTTAGGAGGAATTTTGATCTCAAAAATATGTCAATATATGTCCCAATTGTGAAAAACCACATGTTTACTCCCTCGATTATTGATGACTCTTTTACACTTTGGGTGACAAATGGTTTAAGGACACTGAAGGACCTGTTTATTGAAGGTAATTTTGCCTCCTTTGAAAGGCTGAAATCAAAGTGTCATGTTCCAAACTCTCATTTCTTCAGATATCTTCAACTTCGTAGCTTCGTGTCTACTTCATTCAGCCACTTTCCCTCGCGACCACCGGACTCACTTCTTGAAAACATTTTGGACTTAAATCCATACTCTAAAGGAATTATTGGTAAAGTTTATACTTTAATCAACTCGTATGATGTGAAACCTCTGACTCATGTTAAATTGAAGTGGGAGGAAGAACTGGGTGGAACTCTCTGAAGATGTATGGCAATTGATTTTAGATAATATCCATCTGTCCTCAATCTGTTTAAGACAAAGAGTTATACAATTCAAGGTTGTTCACAGACTACATTGGTCCAAGGTCAAACTTGCCAAGATCAAACCAGAACTTAATGCTGTGATCACTGTGCCAGTGAACTAGGGACATTATCACACATGTTTTGGTTTTGCACAAAGCTTAGAAACTTTTGGCAATCAATTTTTAAGTTATTATTATTATTATTTTTTTATTTATCTTTTTTTAAACGGTGCAACAGGGTGGGTTTGTTCTTGTTTTATTCTGTATTTTTGGATGTAAAACACATTATTGCAATATGTTTGAAATTGTATATCTAATGGAATTCTATAAAAAAAAATACTTGGGAAAGATAAAAGCTACAAATGATAAAAACTTGATTTTAAAACAATGTTGATCTGTTTTTCAAATTTAAAATCACTGTCTAAGGTGACGCCAAGGTTGGTGACTGTGGGACGAACATAATTTTTGAGGGGTCCCACATCAGTGAGGGAACCGCTGGCCCCAGACAGTATCACCTCAGTATCAAGACAAGAATCAAACCCTTGCCTTTCTTGCTCTTTGCTGCTGTTATAAAGATGTCCTCTCCTCTCTTCAGTGTCCGCTGTCGTGGTGGTAACGCTCTGGTCGCCTGCTCCGCTCTCAAACGCCTCTACAGACAGATCCTGCAACACGGCAACAAAGCCTTCACCTGCTGTCAATCAGGGTCTCAACAGGAAGTCCCGCCTCCTCCTCCTCTCTCCTCTCCGGACATCTGCTTCCTGTTCCTACATGGGGATTATAACGTGATCTACCAAAGACTGGCCTTTCGAAAGGGTCACTACATGAAAGCGAACCTGCTCAAGTCTCAGTTTGACACTCTGGAGCCTCCGTCAGCTGAAGAAAACGTTTTACCTTTGGACATAACGACAAACACCATCACAGACATGGCAGAGAAAGTGGAGAAGCATCTAATGAGCCACAAGAAACTCTTACTGGTCTAAACAAAGTCTTAAAACACATGAGATTATCCAAGAGGCACTACGCTTTTATTTACATTGATACTTTGCATGGGTCCATTTTGGAGATCCACACTCGCGCAGTACAGCACCACACCAGCCCGCTAAACCAGGACTAAACCAGGACTAAACCAGGACTTAACCAGGACTAAACCAGGACTAAACGTACGCCGTGACAGTTGCGGATTATAAATATAAACAAGACGCAAACCGCAGAGCTGACTGCCAGGACTACACCAGGACTGAACCAGGACTAAACCAGGTCTAAACCAGGACTTAATCAGATCTAAACCCGGTCTAACCCTGGACTAAACCAGGACTGAACCTACACTGTGTCATTAGAGGATCATAAATATAAACACGCCGCAAACCGCAGAGCTGATTGCCAGGATTGAACCAGGACTAAACCAGGTCTAAACCAGGTCTAAACCAGGACTAAACCAGGACTTAGTCGGATCTAAACCAGAACTAAACTAGGACTGAACCAGTGTCATTAGCATAAATATATACACACCGCAACCACCAAGTTGATCACCAGAACTACATCAGGACTGAACCAGGTTTAAACTTGGACTAAACCATGTCTAAACCAGGTCTAAACCAGGACTAAACCAGCTCTAAACCAGGACTAAACCAGCTTTAAACCAGGACTAAATGAGGACTAAACCAGCTCTAAACCGGGACTAAACCAGGTCTAAACCAGGACTAAACCAGGTCTAATTCGGCTCTAACCTAAATTGGCTCTAACCAGGTCTAAACCAGGACTAAACTAGTACTGAACCATCTCCAAACCAGGACTAAACCAGGACTTACCCAGAACTAAACCAGGAGTGCAGCCGCCGACAATCACCTCCACTGATGGTTTTATATAATAAATACACAAAAGTCACTTCCTCAGTCTGGTCTACAATTGTTCCCGGAAAAGACCAGGACATGTCACTTGTTTCTAGGGCAACAGACGTCCTGGAGGCGCGTCAGGTATTTTTTTCTTCTGTACGTCGTTCATTTGATTCACCTGACCTGCCCATGTGTAATCACTACCCGCTGACACACCCGCCTGTAAAATTTCAGAACGTTAAAACCCGCCCGTTTCAGCAACTATTTGCAGGTATCCGTTGGGTGCAGGACTCTGCGCTCAGGGGGCTCTGCATGTATGTGTATGGCAGAATGTTGAGCAGTTACCATTAGGGCAGGGTATCATTAAGAAGCTGCCGATACGATACACACCTCGATACATAGGCCACGATACAGTGCACTTTCGGTTCAATACGATATATTTCAAATCGATTCGATATAGTTCACTAAAAAAATAGGCTAAATCATGGCTGTGATACTAAAAGTTTTTGTGTAACGTGAATATAAAACACAAACATCTTAATCATCAAAACAGTAAAAATGTCGAGTTTCCCTCCTCTAAATAAACAACAAAACTGTAGCTCTGTAACAAAATTATTTAGTAAAATATACCAAAAAATCCTCTTGGTGATATATCGATACAGCTGCCCACGATATCGATACTGTTTCATCACATTAAATGATACGATATATTGATATTGCTGTATTTTTGGACACCCCTAGTTACCATAGTGACAATACAGCATTAGAAGACACAGCCAAAATAAAAACAAGCGTCCCTGGTGTTGTTTAGGCATTTGATTTTCGACAAAAACGGTGAGAGTGACCGAACAAATCTGCTCACCTGTTGTAGTTCCAACTAAGTCAGTTCTCTATGGTCAGGTCGTGTTAAAATAAAGCTCAGATAAAGTCTACCTTGAGCTTCAGACAGAGCAGAGCCTTCAGTTAGCGTCACACCCACGGGGAATATTGACACGAGCTGCAAAGTATCAAACAGTCAGAGGAACATTTACATGGTCGGTAAAATCAGATCATTAGAACAATCAGATAACACAATAATTAGATCTGATTTGTGACGTGTGTTTACAGCACAAAACAAATCTGATCATCAAGTTATAGGTACAGTATGTAACTTTATAGACCTACGCGTTTCCATGGAGATAAAATTAAACCCACACTCCATGGCGATAGATTAATTTTATGCCAGACTGTCAACGATTATAACCAAACGAACAACTGGCCCATCTCCAGGCCAAATAAGAGTCAGGTTTGTGAAGATGCAAGCCTGCTCACAGTAAGGACACTTCCACTTTATTCCACTTTCCAGCGCAATAAAACAACAAAAAAAGAAAAAAGAGGGTTATTTTAGTCTATTTTTTAGCTCAAAAGTTGCATATTTTGTCTCTAAATACAACAACGAATCGAAAAGTCCACAAATTAAAGCCAAAGCACAATGAATTTTAAAATAACTGTTCCAATCTTTAACATTTTGTCACGTGGAAACAGAGGGACGACCCAAAACGCAGGACTGCTTCAAAATATTTAATGACAAATCAAAAAAATCCAAAACTCAAGACTAAATTGCCATGACAAGAGACACGGAGGAACTCGGACAGAGACAATGGACCAACAAAGGGCAGAGGAGAACACAGGGTATAATTGCACACACATAGACACAGGTGAAACACATTAGGGTGGGGCAAACAATCAACAACAAACAATCAGGAAGTAAAACTCAGAACTTTTTTTTTTTTTATTACACACAACTGGGTGCATAAACTTGATATAACAAACATGGCTGTGTGTTGTCAGCAGTTACATGTTGGGATGAGGGAACATAAACACAACATATTATATAGAAACAATACAATATAATACAACAAAAATGCATTTAAGAATAGATAAATAAATAAATGATAATAGCAAGGGAAGTAGAGTTCATTCAGCCAGAGTTCATAAAGTCCAGGGGTATTTCACACATGTAGGAATACACTTTTTGAGGTTTAGGTCCATTCATATGTTTCAGGGTTTTTATATATAATCTGAGTTCGTTTTTAAAACAAGCAAAGTTAGGGGGACATTTCTGAATTTTACATTTGTGGATGTAAAATTTGGCAAGACATAATATTAAGTTTACACAGAGTTCTTCTTTTTTATTTTGTAGTAGTACACCAAAAATTATAACATCCCTGTTTAACAAGACTGGTAAGGAACGAAATGTGGAATTGATCCAGAGTTGCATTTCAGACCAAAAGGGTTGGATTGTAGCACAAAAGAAAAAAAGATGATCAGTGCTTTTAATCTCCTTTTCACAAAAAGTGCAAATGTTTTCTTGAATTTTAAAGCGCAATTGAAGTAATTCTTTGGATGGGTATATGTTATTCATGATTTTGTAATGTGTTTCCTTTACTTTAGGAGCAACAGGAAAGGCCAAATACATTGTTCTCAGTTTTGTTATTGCTTCTTTATCAAATTTATATTGAATATCATTTTTATTTTGCAAACCAGGGAACATTTTTCCTGTTAAGTAAAACTCAGAACTACAAGCAGACAAAACAAATGTCAAAATAAAACACAAACTACAACCACTACAAAACATGAACCATGACACATTTTCTATTACTCACATCTGATTTTTTTAATAATCTAATCTCCAGAAATCAGATTATGATCAGATTTTTGGGCAGGTTTGATCTACCTCTTACACTGCTGTGCAACAAAATACTTTTAATCTCTTTTAATTTCTGTGTATTTCATTCGTGTGGTTTGCAGTGTTTTTGATTCTGTGATGAAGTGATTATTAATATATTTTACTTGAATCTTACTGTGAATTATTTTTTGATAATTACTGTATTTTTATTTTGAGTTTTGGTAACCAGATGTGTCGTTAGATTTTTAAATTTTTTATTTATATATATATATAATGAGTCTTATATAACTGTTTTTAATATTTCAACAAAAAACAATGTGATGTACTTTTCATTCACTGCTCTGTCACTCAGGTTACATCTGGAATATATTTCTGGACTATTTCACAGGATGGCATTAAACTTATCTGTTATTCTTTGATTCAATTATAAATTTTACACAAATGAACCCACTTTATATCATATTTAATCGGCAAAATTTTCCCCAAATGCTCCACTGTAAGGAGTGGGATCCCTGTTTAAGCTGAAGTGCCATTACAAGAAAGTGCGGTTTAGGAGCGTTTAGAGACAAAAGTGGGCAGCAGGGCCAAATATGGTGAATTGCTTTGTGTGGAAGGTTTCATAGTGTGGCATTAACCCTTTCTATCTTCAAGGAGACCAAACCAGACCAGGTTACAGGCCAGATCTGTGGAGAGGTAGAGGTAGGTATTTTTGAGCTATAAAACCACCTGTAATTGAATGACTTGGACTCATTCTTGTCTCAGTCGTAAAGATGTTTGGACTTGGTCTTGTTTCAGTCTCGTGATCTGACACTTGACGAGTGATAAAATGGAGATAGTTTTATAAAAACACTGATATATATGTGACAAAATAACTGCAAAATACAAATAATTACAAAGATGGTCTTGATTTGGTCTTGATGGGCCGTGGTCTTGGTCTTGCCTCAGTCTCGGCCTTAAAAAGTCTCGGTCTTGCCTCGATCTCGGCCTTAAAATGTCTCGGCCTTAAAATTCTCAGTCTCGGCCTTAAAAAGTCTCAGTCTTGTCTCAGGCTCAGCCTTTAAAAGTCTTGGTCTTGCCTCGGTCTCGGGCTTTAAAAGTCTCGGTCTTGTCTCAGTCTTGTCTTGGTCTCAGCCTTTAAGAGTCTAGGTCTTGAAAAGTCTCGGTCTTGTCTCAGTCTTGTCTCAGGCTCAGCCTTTAAAAGTCTTGGTCTTGTCTCGGTCTCGATCTCGGTCTCGACCCTCAGAGGTCCTCGTCTCGGTCAGTCTCGGTCTTAAAAAGTCTCGGTCTTGCCTCGGTCTCGGTCTTAAAAAGTCTCGGTCTTGCCTCGGTCTCGGGCTTTAAAAGTCTCGGTCTTGCCTCAGTCTCGGCTTTTAAAAGTCTCGGTCTTGCCTCAGTCTCGGCCTTTAAAAGTCTCGGTCTTGTCTCGGTCTCAGTCTCGACCCTCAGAGGTCCTGGTCTTGTCCTCGTCTCTGGACCCTGTGGTCTCGGACAGGTTTTGACTGCAACACTATTAATCCATACTGTGGAACATTCTGGAGCAATAATTTCCATGGAGACAAGCAGACAGTAGACCCTCCACTAGAAATGTTACGCAGTGCACCTTTAAATTGATCTGAGGGATTATCAGTATAATCCAATATAATCTCCTTTTCGAGTTCAAATAAGAAAAAATATATATATATACGTGTGAAATGTACCTGAAGTGTACTAGATACTTTTTGTGTTCATTAATCTGCTCAAAATAAAGAAATAAATACATAAAAAATTATTATTAAAGACAATTTTCTATGAACTTGGCCGATTTGGATGTTATTATTTTGTATCTTGGAGCAATCTTTAAAGTCTGAAATGAAGAATAAATAAACACAGTAGTTCCAGATGTCGCCAGCAGGTGTCCGTAGCGTCGCCCTCTCACGTCTGTCACCGACACTATTTTAATTTTGTGCGTCTGTTTTGGGTCATGACGCATCCACGCGCCTCATCCCAAATATTTCTGGAGCTTTAATCCTGCGTCCCCGCGGCTGTCTCGTATCTCTCCCGCGCAGACAGGCCCCTCTCTCCGCTGTCTGGCACCGAACGAGCGCAATGACTCTCGTAATGACAAGTGAACGTGACATGAACGTGTTCAATGACACAGAGGAGACGCAACAGGGCGACGTGCGGGAAATGACGCACTGCTGCCCTCTGCTGGTACAACAGGCTCTGTGCTGGTCTTCGTGTACAGCAGGGTTTCCAAAAGACTGAGTGGGTCACAAGAGATTTTTTGGGGGGTTGTGTGGACTCTCCTCCTGTACCCGGACTGGAACGTTCTACAAAAACGCAGACAGGCCCACCTATCTCATTAGAAAGTCTCGGTCTTGTCTCAGTCTTGACCTTAAAAAGTGTCCCTCTTGTCTCAGTCTTGTCTCGGTCTCAGCCTTTAAAAGTCTTGGTCTGTCTTGTCTTGGTCTTGGTCTTTTAAAAAAGTCTTGGTCTTTGTCTCAGTCTTGGTCTTGTCTCAGTCTTGGTCTTAAAAAGTCTTGGTCTTGTCTCAGTCTTGGACTTAAAAAGTCTTGGTCTTGGTCTCAGCCTTTAAAAGTCTTGGTCTTGTCTCAGTCTTGTTTCGGTCTCAGCCTTTAAAAGTCTTGTCTTGTCTTGGTCTTAGCCTTTTAAACATTAGAAATGTTGAAATGTTTTGTATAATTTCGAATCATTTGTAATTATTTTGTTGACTATTTTGTTCCAATATTTCTGGTTCAATTGAATGTTGAAAAGAAAAAGAAATGAGCTACATTTAATGTCCAAATAGTCGACTTCTGGATCCTTTCATTACTGGTTCAATTACTGTTTTTCATTGTTTAATTGTTCACAGAGACACAATCACTCAGTCAGTCATAAAATATCCTCATTAATGTTCAATAATGCTCAAATCCACCTTGAAGTTTGGGAAACACTGGTGTAAAGAGCTTGTATTACATCCAGTTCAAAGTATTGCACAGACTTCTATGTCTAATCAGAGAGTAAAATTATAAACCAAAATGTAAAAAGGTACGACATAGTCAAATCTTAAATGTAATGATGTTAACAATGTTTTAGTAAAATGTGTAGTCTAACCTGTCATATGCTCTTTGTTTGGGTAAATCTGTTGCAAACAGCCACACTTCAGATTGGACCCAGTTCTTACACTTATGACACAGACAAGACAAAAGGACTGCACTTTGTTTGGTGTGTTTATTAAAATAATTTGCTCCATCTGTTTGATATGGACATGTGTATTAACATGTGTTATTGGTGCAAATACTGATGTTGCATTGGATTTATTTAGTGCCTTTCCACACACAAACACACAAAGAGCTTTACAGTGTCATTCATTCACTCTGTGGTGGTAATTTTACGACTGTAACCACAACTGCCCTGTGACAGACTGACGGAAGTGAGGCTGGTGGAGGTCAGCCCCGCGACACTCACCACATTCATACTAGGTAATGTGGCTAAAGTGTCTTGCCTAAGGACACAACAATACTTTTTGCCACTTGCGCCTCACAATGGGATCTTGTATTCCCAGCGGTCTCCCATCCAAGTCCTAACCAGGCCCAGTCCTGCTGAGATCTGACAGGATCAGGCTTTGACAAGGCAATACACAAATACACAGTGTATTATTATTGATTTTCTTATGTGCTTTATAACTATTGTATTTCTACAGCCAGAGTCTAAAGTATCTTCATACTGCAGCTGAAGTATGAGATTATGAAACTATTTACATCTCTGAATTCATAATAATAATAATAATTTCTTACTTTTGCACTGTACAAGCTCCACTTAACTGCATGCTCTGGTGGAAACTTGGTGTAGTCACAGCTGCCCTGGGACAGACTGTTAAAATATGGCTGTCCGTCTAGAGCAGTCATCATTCACACACCACACACACAAAGGCTTGTACACTTTGCCCACGGGCACAAAGGCAGAATGCACATGGTCGGGAGTGGGACTCCCAACCGTAAGGTAGTGTGTCGCTTCATAAGCTTTGGTTTATATTGCTGTGTTTTATTGCATCAGTGCTTCTACAGATTACACGGACATTAAAGGTGCAATGTTACAAAAAATGACTCTTTTGAGATTTAAGACATGTAAGAATGTTGTTACCTCTTCAAAAACAAACCTGGAGTTGTGTTTTGTTTCATTCACACCTGTTTGAGTAACACTTTGTTATTAGTCTGTCTAGTCCAGGGGGGTCCAAACTTTATTCATCAAGGGCCACATATCCAAAAACTGACGAAGCAGAGGGCCGATCGAGGGCCATAGACTGGTGCTGAATACAGTGAGTAATTGAAATATGTGCATGTTTAACACGTTAGAATGAGCCATCAGTCTTTATTCATGCTGAGACCCTTAAAACCACACAGTAAATATTAAAAATGAGCTTTATCAATGTAGATTTTCAAAAAACTTTCAGTAAAAAGTAATTTTTTACATTGATGCAAGGTAATTTGGGCCAATTCATCTGGAAGCCTGAGGGCCAAGAAAAATTTGTCTGAGGGCCGCATTTGGCCCACAGGCCTGATCTAGTCTCTCCAGAGCTCAAATTGTTCTGCTCCACGTTGTGATGTCATGAAGCAATAGTTAACTTCTACCTTTGTTCATTAGAGATTGGAAATTCCAGGGCTGCAATCATCCAAATGATTCTAGTGAAAGTGTACGCAGTTTAAAAACACAGTGGAGCTCTTCTTGTATTACCACATGACATCACAAGGTGGAACAAGAAGTGTTTTCTGTTTGAGAGAATTCAAATCAAATCAAATTTATGATTTATTAAAGCACATTTAAAACAGTCAAAGTTTACCAAAGTGCTGAACAACATTTACAGTGGAATAAAACACACAATAAGCAAATCAAGCAGAGTTTTAATAATAAATAAATAACAATAATAATAACTTTCTAACTCTTCCTAACTCTGGACAAATGCCAAAAGGTGAAAAGGTGCGTTTTGAGTGAGGATTTAAAGTGCTCCAGTGACTGTGCAGTTCTAATTCAGTCTAAATCTGCAGGTTTGTGTGTTAAACATGTGTGAATGAAACAAAACACAACTCCAGGTGTGTTTATGACGAGGAAACATTATAACAGGTGAGAAAAACAGAGTAATATTGGCCCTTTATTAAGCTACTACAGGTCACTACACCATCAGCCAGCACATGTGATATTATTACTATAATATGAGAGTTTAAGAGTGAAGTCAAAGCTGAATCACCTGTGGAAATGTCAGGGATCTAAAGAGAAGTTCATGTTAATGCAGTTACATGACTTTTCCTCTTGGGGGCGCTCTGCAGTTCTTCAAATACCTATGAGCTCAGTTGGTCCAAATCCTGCAAAACAATATGTAGGAGTTTGCACTAATATTGTTCTTTAATTTCATTTATTCGCTCTCTTTTAGTGTTCACCTTGTGGTCGGAGTTAGCGAGCGCCTGCAGCATCTGTTGGACAAACTGTTGTTGATGCTCTGTTGCCGTGGAAACCGCAGGACCGTTTCTGGGTTTGTTGTTGAAGACGGATTCAGGCTCAAAAGTCGAATTATTTCCAAATCCAGCCCTAAATCAGACAGGAAACAGGAAAGTACAGAAGAAAAATCCGTGTGTCATTCGTTCATTCGTTTTTCACAATAAAACCAAAAATAAGAAATGAAAAACAACAATTTTCTTCATTATTTGTTTCCAAAACCGAAATGAAAAAAACGGATAACGATTTGTTTTTTCAGTTTTCAATTTTGTGTTTAAATGAAAAATGGAAAAAACGGATAACGACCATTTCTCGTTTCTGTGACTTAAACTGAGATGCCGAACTGAACCAGGACTAAACTGGGACTAAACTGGTCTTAGTCCCGGTCTTGGTCCCGGTCTCATTCCTGGTCTCAGTCTCGGTCTTGGTCCCAGTCTCATTTCTGGTCTCGGTCCCGGTCTCGGTCCTGGTCTCATTTCTTGTCTCAGTCCCAGTCCCGGTCTCAGTCCCGGTCCCAGTCTCATTTCTGGTCTCAGTACTGGTCTCGGTCCCCGGTCCCAGTCTTGGTCCCAGTCTCAGTCCCGGTCCCAATCTCATTTCTAGTCCCGGTCCCGGTCTCGGTCCCGGTCTCGGTCCCGATCTCAGTCCCGATCTCAGTCCCAGTCTCATTTCTGGTCTCAGTCCCAGTCTGGTCCCGGTCTGGTCCTGGTCTAGTCCCGGTCTCAGTCCTGGTCCTGGTCTGGTCCTGGGCTCAGTCCTGGTTTAGTCCTGGTTCAGTCTCAGTTTAAGTCACGTAAACAGGAAACGTCCTTTATCATTTTTTTCCATTATTTATTTAAACACAAAATTGAATATTAAAAAAATGAACCATTATCTGTTTTTTAAATTTTTGTTTTGGAGACAAATAAAGAAGACTTTTTTTTTTTCTTTTCTTATTTTTAGTTTTATTTAGAAAAATGAATGAACGACACAGATTCAAATCAATGGTTGTATAAATCTGCTGGGACAGGGGACACATGGCTCAAAACTGGGACTGTCCCGGGTCAATAGGAACATCAGGTCATCCTAATTTATCACCTTAGACACTTTGTATGTTGTGTTCAATGTTGTAATCATGTAAAACTGTCAGTCCTACAGATGAAATCCTCTGTTTAAATACACGTCAGGACTCACACAGGGATGAGGGCTGGAGCCTCAGACGCCAGAGTCTGCAGACCCTGCTGGATCTGAACCAGGGCCTCCACAGCTTTAGGATTCAACATGGCCGACAGCAGCTCAGGACTCTGCATCTGAACAAAACAACATGATAAATGCAGGATTAGCCCACAAACATACTAGCTGTAAAGCAGCACCATTAGGCAAGGCAAGTTATTTGTACAGCACAATTCGTACACAAAGTAATTCAAAGTGTTTTACAGAATAAGAAATACATGAAAATCAGAATACAAACAAATCTAAACATAAATAATCATCATAAAATTAAAAAGAAAGAGAGACATTGAATGAGAGGGAAAAGTGCAGAACGAAAACCTTTCATTCAGATGCAGCTAAACAGAATCGCTTTGAGCCTGGATTTAAACAGAGTCAAAGTAGAGTCTGTCTCACATCTTCAGGAAAACTGTTCCAGGTTTTAGCTGCGTGAACCTGAAACACTGACTCTGACTTTAGTCCTGACTCTGACTCTGACCCTGAAGTCCTCAGAGCGCAGATGGTTCCTATGACACTAACATGTCACAGATGGACTTTGGTGCTCGGCCATGGAGAGACTTTTACACAAGCAGAGCTGCTTTAAAGTCTCTGAGCCACAGGGGGCAGTGCAGAGACCTGAGCCAGGACTTATGTGCTCGTACTTCCTGGTTCAGGTCAGGACCCGAGCTGCAGTGTTCTGGATGTTCTGCAGCGTCTCACAGCTCATTTGGAGAGACCAGTGATCAGTAACAGAATCTAACCTCCTGGAGACAAACACACGGATAAGTCTCTCCAGGTCTGCTTTAGACAGTAACCCTTTGATTTTTGCTATGGTTTTTTTTTTTTAGATTACAAGTGCCTTTCTACATTTCTGATTGTAATTTGTCCCTGTAATGATTTAAATAATTTAAAGCTACAATATGCAACTTTTCTGAGAGATAGTCCAGATCCACCACCACTTGCGTCCTCATAGATGTTATTGGAATGTTCCACAGTATGACATTAAACATATTTATCTTTAAGTAAAATGGCATCACCACTCCATATTGCAGGTCAAGAAAGTTGTTATTCTTGAATTTTTTCTGATAAAAACACCCCAAAATCAATACATTTAATGACATATTGTGGAACATTCCAGGCAGATGAAGTCTTGCCTGTTAAATATTGGCACCAGACCCAAAAATCCCTCTTGGTGTGGGTCTTAATATTGAGTAAACAGCATATTGTTAGCCTCCTAGCAAGTCATTCTTTGAAATATGACAACTAATGTGATTTTTTTGGCAGTAAAGCTCCTTCTGACTGGTTGAGGTTCAGCAAAAAGATCTGGCCAAAGCCTGACTGATGGTATTGTGAATAAAAGTGCAGAGTAACAGCATACTGTATTTGTGGCACACACGTTTTAACAGATCTTATCACACTCGTCCTCGCGTATAACACTGCATACATCTCACAGCGAACAGTCACACAGACGGAGTGGGTCAGACCTGCTGTAGTAACACAGGGAGCTGCTGTCTGAGCTGCTGCTGGAGATGTGGGTTTTCTGACAACAGAGGGTGACTCAACAGCATCTGAAATAAAACGACACGGAAATAAGGTTTGGAATGATAAAACAAGACGTTCTCAGGAAAAGTCGGCCATTCCACCTCTGTCATATTCTTGTGAAATGCAGCATTTTATGATTTGAAAACCTGATATATGCAAATGTTTGTCTGCTGTATCAGATCATTCATGATACTGCTGCACCTTTGCCAAAACAGTTTGTTTCCTTGAGCTCTGAAACCACCTCCTGATCAAGGGTGTAGGTTTACACAGGAACAGTGGGGACATGTCATAACCAATATTTGGGGAAGACAAAATAGTCCCTAATATTTGCCATTTTATTTTAATAAACAAAAATATAATTTTTTCCCCGATATTTTTCCAAACTCTATAGTATAAATTTAACATGTTTTAGTTCACATTTTGTTTATTAGACGTTCTGAGATGTATTCAGTGATGTGACGACAGGGTTACTCCTGCCGCTGTTTCATTGGCTGTAACAGAGTGATGTCATTAGTGGAGCCAGGAGCCTAAACTGGGGAAGCGGCAGGACAGGGCCGCACCTGAAGATGGCGACTTGAGCAGACGTGAGTGAAGACGCTGCACCAAACTTTGAAAAACTTTTCAAAAGGAACTTACTTGGCTTCATCTTCAATTAAACTTGTCTTATAATGAGTCGCCGCGAAAAAAGAGCGACTATCAGCACAAGTGCACCTCCCAAACAAAGCCCTACTCGTGCTCTGTGAACAGCCGGATTCTACTGACAATATCCCATGGAAAAATATTTGGACATCACCTCACAAATATCTCATCACCAACAAGTAAAGAGAAATCTGCTACAAACTTCTACATCTCTGTTCTCCACTAAAGAATCATCTTAGAAGAACAATGGACACAAACTGGACATTCTGCGAAGTGAAAAATGAAACCACCTCTCACTTATTTTGGACCTGCCCAGATTCTGTGTGTTTTTAGAAATAATTCTCAAAGCTGAGACCAAACCTACGCCCTTGTAAGTAGTAAACAATAATACTGAAACCACTTTATGCCACTGACACACACACACACACACACACACACAAAATAACAAAAAATTGCAGAAACCTCCCCAGCACTGCAACAAAAATATGTGCACAAAGTATTGAGCCTCAAACTATAGTGCTCCTGCTTTCATACACTGAATAATAAATCGATATAGTAATTACTGACCTGTGCAGCCAGATCTGGGTTGTGGCTGAGACACTGAAGCAGGTTCTTCACATGAGGCCCAGAGAGAAGAGACTCCATCAGACCAGAGGAGGAGACCTGCTCCAGGAGGGACTGCAGGCCTCCAAGTATAAACACAAAACATATTACAACAACAGAAGTGTGTTTTGGGGTTGACGAGGGATGAACAGTTTGGGAAAAAACATCTAATTGTGATTTTTGGACGAGCATTGTGTTTAGATTAGTGATTTATTTTTTTTAAAGGTCCTGTACTTGACAAAATTGACTCTTTTGAGCTTTAAGCCAATTTATAATGTTGTTACCTCACCAAAAACTTACCTGGAGTTGTGTTTTGTTTCATTCACACATGTTTGAGTAACTCTCCAAGCTCAAAATGCTCTGTTCCACCTTGTGATGTCATGAAGTGGTAGTTTTCAAGTTAACAGCGACATTGCAGTGGACAGTGGAGTGTTTAAAGTCTCGTCTTAAGACCCACTTTTATTCTCTGGCTTTTAACACCGCATGAGTTGTGTGGTCCTCTGTGTCTTTTATTAATTTTTTATATTTTTTTATTTATTTATTTTATTGTTTTTATTTATTTATTTATTTATTTTATTGTTTTTATCTACTTTATTTTTTTAGTACTGCTTTTATGTATTGATTTTATTATTTTTGTTCATTGATTTTATTATTATTATTTTATTTATTGATTCTATTAGTTTCTTCTTAGTTGAAACATAATTCTGCAGATTTTAATTAATTTATTTTTTTTAAGTAAAATGGTTTACATTGCTATGTAAAACACTTTGGAAACCATCTTGTTTATAAAATGTGCTATACAAATAAAGTTGGATTGGATTTTACCTTTTATGGAGTAGAGATCGGCATTTCCAGAGCTGAAATTATGCAAATGATTCTAGTGAAGGTGTATGGAGTTTAAAAACACAGTAGAGCACTTCCTGTATTACCACATGACATCACAACGTGGAACAGAGTGTTTTCTGTTTGAGAGAAGAACTCAGCCTAAATCTGCAGGGTTTGTTTGTTTAACATGCGTGAATGAAACAAAACACAACTCTGTTTTTGACGAGAAAACTGCATTATAACATAGATCAGAAAACAGCGTAATATGGGTCCTTTAATAATAAGATTCTGTTCAAAGTTTACATTTTAAACACGTCCAGAAGAACTGACCAAGAGACTGAAATCTGTCCAATGAGGTTTATTTGGTCGTCCGATAATTTATGTTAGTAGGTTCTTTTTTCAGACCAAGAGTTTATTTTCATACCTGACAGTTTGGACTGCTCACTAGCGGTCGTCCTCAGAGTCACGTGATGTTGCTTTGACGTGTCTCTCAGCTGATTTAAACAGGTTTTGCCGCTGTCTTCCTACCGATAGAGGCAGGACGACAGCGCCACCTCCAGTCCGACTTCCTCAGGACAGTATCCCAGGTGTGTGAGAGTAAAAAAATCCCCCTCGTCTCGGTTTATCGTCCCGTGGGCACGTTTCCATATTTCGACTGCCTCTTTAATCCAGCGACGATGTTTGTTTTCCTCTGTCCCAATGACGTTTGCTTCGTCCCAGTCCATAATGTGATTCTGTCTTTTACAGTGTCAGAAACTGCAGATTTGAGTTGTTCCTGTTCTGCTTTGTGTTTTGTTTCGCCTTCGCTGTTTCCTTCTCACATTCTGTTCTATGTTCCTTTTTTCATGTACTGAAGGCCCTCCCTGTTTCCCCGATGTATGTTTTATTGCGGGACATGCAGGATATTTCGTATATGACGTTACATTTATGCTTCGGTTCTATTTTATCTTTTGGGTGGACGAGTAGTTGTCTGAGTTTTCTGTTCGGTTTCACTCGTGTGCTGATTTTGTGTTTTCTCATTGCCCATTGCCAAAACCTGTATACTGTACTCTGAGGAAGACCGCTGGCGAACAGGCGAAAATGTCAAGTATGAAAACAAACTCTAGGTCTGAAAAAAGAACCTAATAACATAGACTGAAATGTGACCTGACAAATGAATACAAGAATCACATTTCAGAGCATGTTTGTGCTGATCTAAACTACAGGGTTACCAGTTTTTATGCAGAATAAGTCAGGAGATTTTGTTGTTTGTGGAAGAAATTATTCAAAAATTACTGTCTTTGCAATTCATCTTGGACTTCTAGGTTTGCGGTTCTGTTCAAAGTGTATTTACCTGCACTGATATCGGCTTTAGATGTGGTAGTCAGCTTTGAGAGTCCATCTGTGCAGGGCTGAAAGAAAAACAAAGAAAGATAATATTGTTTATTATATCAAATATTAAAAAACAGCAGAGAAGACATAACTTGCCTCGGGGGGCTGGACTCCTCTGTCTGGTTTGGTGAAGCTGGTTTTTGGAGGAAAATTAAAATGTTGTTTGGTGGGTTTTGCCCTCTGCGGTCTCTGTCTCTGTCTGCAGGGTCCAGCCTCAGTCGTCTCTTCACTCTTCAGAATTTTCTTTATCATTTCCGGGTTTCTGACCAATTCAAGCACCTGGAGAGGGCAACAGAAAAATCAGGTGAAATGTGGCGTAAGTGACTCTTTTGGGCAGAGGAGGGACTCGTACTGAAGTTCAATCTCAGAAGTTATCATGCAAACAGAGTACAGTGACCACAAAATTCTATCGTAATAATTAGAGATAGACTCAGATAGACTTGTGATCATCATCATCATAATCCTCATCATCATCATTATGAGTCAAAATACAAACAAAAAAAGAGAGCAGAGAAAAGCAGGAATTAGAGGTATGCATGTTTACATAGCATTAGCTTGTTAGAAGAGATTTAAAAAGTTATTCTCAGATAACATTGTAGAAACTAAACAGCCACTTCACAAGAGGATGTACCAACACAGACGAGAGAGCAACACAGGACCACAGTCTGCTGTACATCTCCAACTAAAAGCCACGGGCCACTCCTTTGACGACAGTGAGGTACAGATCTTAGCCAAAGAGAAGAATTGGTTTGAGAGGGAGTTAAAGAAGCAATTTGGAAGAACAGACATGGAGGACTCAGACATCATCATATCTTTATTTACAACTCCATCCTCAAACCTAAATCAAAACAAACTAAGAAAACACTAGGGATGTGAAAGCTCCATCATGGCCCTGAATGATTCTGCTGATAAGACCCCTCACTTAGTTCAAAACAGAAACTGTAGTCAAGTAGGTGTGTTAGTTTCAGAGTAGTTTCATTGTAGTTAGCTCCTCCCGTCAGGCAGATATAAGGAAGTGTTCACCAGCATTTTGTCCAGAACTGAAGAAGCAGCTTGGATGAGCCACGAAACGTATTTGACCATAATAAACTTTTGTTCAGTTGACAAATTGAATTTCTCCTTTTGCTGTTATTGTTAGATCCTTCCAAAGCTGCATGTTTTTAAGTTTGGTTTTATGGATTCATGAAGCTCTAATTTTACAATATTTGTGACGTCCAAAATCCATCTTTGCAAGTGCTGTGGAGTCTTTCGCAGGCTGCAAGGCGCTTTACTGCAGTTAAGCCACCTAAGAATATGTGTCTTTCCATAAATGTTAAACATAAATTAGAGGTATCATTCAGTAAAAATATTTGTGGTAGGCTTGGTTGTTGTTTGTAATATCTGAGAAAGAGTTTTTGCATCATTCTCCCAAATGGAGGATAATTGGTGCATACTCAAATTAAATGGATCAATCAGTCAATCAAACTTTATTTATAGAGTGCTTTTCATACAAAAAAAAATGCAACACATAGCACTAAATGATCCTACTGCAGCGATATTTTCACTTTTGAGGGCATCGACTATCGACCTTCAAGCTCCAAGAGAGGTCAATATTTTGTTTGGGCCAATCAGCTGAATAAAGAATATGCCTAAAGCCTTATGTGACCACTTTATACTAAGAGGAGAAAACTGCACAAAATGTGACTATACAGCTGTCTTATACAGTTTGTAGTAAACCCATATTATATAATCTGGGAAACATAATCTAGGTTTTCTGTTTGAGAGAAGAACTAATCCTAAATATGCAGCATTTGTGTGATAAATGTGTGAATGAAACAAAACACAACTCCAAGAATGTTTGTGAAAAGGAAACATTATATGGGCCCTTTAACAACAATTCATGGTTTTAATATTTTTGTAAAAGTACAACTGCAATTAGAATGTATTAAAACACTTAATTCTGAAATAAAATAGATAAAAGTAGCCGGTAGAGAGCGTACAGACCTGTGCCATGACCTGTGGGTCGCTGATCTCCTTCTCCAGTTCAGGGCTTGTCTGCAGGAGCTGTTGTGTTTGTGGATTGGACAGGATCAGAGCGTGGACGAGCTCCGGACCGGCTCCAGAGAGGCTGCCCTGGACGAAGGCACTGCCCAGGACACGGTGCATCGTCTCTGGGGAGGAGAGCAGCTGCCTCTCCATCTGAGCCTGGAGCAAAGGGAACAGGCCTGGACCAGTGTGAGAGAGGCCCAGAGAGTCCAGAGCCTCCACTGTGGACAGAGGAAACAGAGGAGACAGGTCAGAACATAGACATAGACTTATACAGTACATATACTGTATTTTTCGGACTATAAGTCGCACTTTTTTTCATGGTTTGGGTGTTTCCTACGACTTATACTCCAGTGTGACTTATATATTAAAATTTTCACAATGAAGCCACGAGACGCTCTAGTCTTGTGTGTCAGTATCTGCTGCTCCTGTTACTCCTGTACCACTGTCACTTCAATCTACTGTGCATGTCTCCTGCAGAAACAGCCTCTGTCCTGCTGCAAGTAGTGAAATATTCATCTGAAAATGATAATCCAGCAGCAAAAAGAAAGTTTGGAGTGAGTGAGAAACTTATGAGGGACTGGGGAAAAGCGGGGATGGAGAACACAACTTCATGGGAACCAGGAGGATGCACCATGAAACTTTTCTGGAAGTCACTGGACGGATGGACAAACCCTGGACTTCAGTGACACCGAAACCATCCTGTCGGGATTCAGAAAGGCCCGAATAATTCTAACTGGAACTGATGCTGAGTCTGACGACAGCGACACAGAAGAGGAAGCGGCGCTCTGTTTACCTCGGGAGGTCGCAGAGTTGCTCAGAAGTGACACAGAGGATGAAGAATTGAATGGATTTAGTGATTTGGAGTGAGACGGAGAGTTTGTTAAACTTGTTCTGTTGTTTATGTTTTTGTTATCTGAAGAACTGTTCATATGTGATGTTAACAGTCTGTTGTTCTCTGTTCTATTGTTTTTACTAGAACTTGCCTTTCAAGATGAAATGTCAGTTCCTGGTGTCTGATTTTATCAAATAAATTTCCCCCAAAAAATGTGACTTATAGTCCGATGCGACATATGTATGTTTTTTTCTTCTTCATTGCGCATTTTTTGGCTGGTGCGACTTATACTCCTGATCGATTTATAGTCCGGATAATACGGTACTAGTATTTCTATAAAAGTCCACGGGTTAGATTAATTTAGAACTGCAGACTGTATAAAAAAGTGGACCAAGTGAGTGTAACGTCACCCACAGCGTCTGGCTCCAGTAAAATGAAGCTCACAGAGGCAGTTATAGAGGCGAATTTGGAGCCAAGTTACAACTGGGAATAGGAATTCATTTACACACTGCAAAAAAGCGTGGCCAAAATTTAAGATATAAACACTTAAATCTATCAGAAAATGACTTTAAAGGAGTGAAATGATCTGTCCATGCAGCAAGATTATTTTACTTGACAAGTTATCTTCAAATAAACAACCTCTAGACGGGAATCTCAAGCATCTCAGAACTTGTAAGTAGATAATAAATCTGAAAACAAGATGAATAACCTGATATAAGTTTTAAAATCTTGGCCATATCAGAGAAATTTGAAGTGCATACAAAATAGCAAAATAAAAACACCAGGATCATGTAGAGCGGGTTAATACGAATATTTTAAGAGCAAAATGATGAGGCTCACAGCAGCAGCTACACAAACAGGGAGACAAGTTTTCAGTATAAAGTGAAGTGGAATTGTTTTGTTTCATTCACACATATTTAGGCTGAACAAAATGAGAGCTCACCCAGAAACAGAGGAGAGGTGGGAGTCTGTGCTTCTCCCTCAGGGTCTAGAAGAGCTGCAGTTGGAGAGGACACGTCTTCATCAGTGGACACAGAGGAAGTCTCAGCATATCTGAACAATGTAGTACAGTTTAAGGTTATGTTTCCAGGTCTTATACATTCTGCTGCACATTGGATTTACCCTCACACATGCTTGTATGAAACATGTATTTTGCAGCATTATCAAATCAAACTGGTAAAAAGGAATTTTATACATGAAACTTATTTAAATAGGTTGAGTTCTAATTTGATGATGTCAGGGCTGGGGTCTGTACATGGATTTTAGCGTGATTAAAGATTTGTACCATTGCCACAGCAAAAGGAGAAATTCAATCTGACAACTGAACAAATGTTTATTTCGAAAACGTTTCACAGCTCATCCAAGCTGCTTCTTCAGGGGTGTTAGTTTCAGAGTAGTTTCAGTGTAGTTAGCTCCTCCCTTCAGGCAGATATAAGGCAATGCCCACCAATTTCTGACCAGAACTGAAGAAGCTGAAGGGAGGAGGTACAGGAGCCTCTGTTCCTGCACCACCAGACTCACTAATGGCTTCATCCACCAGGCTGTTAGGATGCTGAACTCTCTTCCCTCTCTATCCACCAGGCGGCCAGGAAGCTACGAATCTGCGTCTCCACAAAGAACACTTGGACTTTTCCATTTATTTATTATTTATTCATACGTTTGGGAGTGAGAAACACAATTTTGATGTTCCGTATGAAGAACTGACAATAAACTTTTGAATCTGAAACTACATGCAGTGACGCAGGCTTACACATACTTTTTAGCACTAAAAACACCTATGATTAGGGTGACCAGATTTTCAAAATCAAAAACTGGGACACCCCTGGTTTGTGGTGGTTAGTAATAATAAAAATGTGAAACGAGTGCGTAATTAAGGAAAATTCTTCTGCACTTGGCCCATTCATCACTAACATTTGAGTTGGTGTAGTCACATTTTTGTGTGTTTTGGTTATTTTTAAGCAGCTTTTAGGTATTTTACCTAAACAAATACCAATTTATGCCTCTCTTTACTGTTGACAGGGATCAAATTGGTCAAAAATAGGGACACTTGGGACATTTGTTGTATAAAACGGGGACAAATCATTGGCTTTGGATAAATCTGCTGGGACAGGGGACACAGGGCTCAAAACTGGGACTGTCTCGGGGAAAATAGGGGACCCCTTACCTGTAATTAATAAGCTAAATGTGTAATAAATAAGTTTAAAGATTCCTTGCCAGTTCTTGAGATGTGCTGTGTAAAAGTAACCGTGTATTCTTTGAGTCGTCCTTATAAACTAGTCCTTTATTAAATCAGCATGCATCAGCCCACCTCCTCTGGCTCACGGTGAGTTTGACCGCTCCGTCCTTTCCCTGAAGCGACCCGAGGAGCTCCGAGTCTCCGAGGACCCGCCCGGCGTGAATCAGCATCACTCCATCGACCTGGGCTCCTCTGTCCTCTGCAAGACCTGCTTTTAACTAAGACCAAAAATACAACGCAAGAAAAACACGGTTACCACGTCCCTCTTTTGGTTCTCTCTGGTCCTGTGTTGTGCCAATAATTTAGACAATGTCCCACCTTTTCACCAGTGCAAAATTCACTACAAAAAGTGGGATTATAATCTTTTTTTGGCAAATAAATCAACACTTTTGGAGTCTACTGGCAATCAAGCTATTTTTATTGCTGTTCCAGTGTCTGAAAACTGATTACCAAAAAAATGTCCTCATGTTCTACCACACAACAACGTAGCTTATTCCTTTTTTCCCCTACAATCTGAGGTGGATAAATAATTAAATAGTGTGTAGCAAGTGTAGGGTGACCAGATTTTCAAAATAAAAAACTGGAGCATCCTTGGTTTTGGGGTAGTTGGTAATAATAAAATTGTGAAACGAGTGTGTAATTAAGGAACATGTGATTCAATACAGTCACATTTTCTTCGTGTTTTGGTCATTTTTAAGCAGCTTTTCTGTATTTGACCAAAACACGTGGCAATTTACGCCTCTCTTTACGATTGGCAGGGATCAAACTAGTCAAAAATGGGAAAACCTGGGATATTTCTTGCATAAATTTGGGACAAATCACTGGTTTTGGATACATCTGCAGGGACAGGGGACACAGGGCTCCAAACTGGGACTGTCCCGGGGAAAACAGGGACGGTGGTGGTACATTTCAGCATAACAATATTTAAAATCTTGAGTTGCGTACCTGTCTCACGTTGCTGTCTTCTTTCACCGTAATTTCTTGACTCTCCGTGGGACTTTGGAGAATAATCTGGATACTCCGAGACCCATTATTAGATCCAGAGGTGCACGGACTTGGCTGATCTTCCATCGCGGGCTGAGAGCGGAGGAAAGCGGCTGCGCGTTTGGACGGTGACTCGGCACAAAGTTGAAGCGTGGATGCAACTTTGTGCTGAGAAATAGCGACATCTACTGGGCCATTACGCAGCGTTACGCACCGTTGTAAATCCATGTTCAATGTTTGAATGCGACATTTTGAGCACTTTTTACATTCAAAACACAGGCTATGATATTTGTTTTCATGATTTTGAAGCCCATGGGTATGTAACCCTGTTGAATTTCATCTATTAAACATTTTTATGAATTGCTGTATATTAAAATCTGTGCAGAATTTTGGAGCTGTCCAGTTTGACTAAACATAAGATTAGCGCAGGATGTGGTACATTTGATGGTACATTTGACAACATACAAGACAAAAAAGAAAAAAATATAAATATAAATGAAGTTAAGTAAAAAAAATTATAAAACCCTCAAAGTGAAAAAAGGCTTAAGTCTCAGGTTTAAGGCTGCTAAAGAGGGCCAAAGGTAAAAGACTCACAATAGGAATACAGCTGTCTGTTGTATTGAGCTGAGATTAACACTGCCCCCTGTCTGCAGCTTATGGTACAGACCAGGGGTCCTCAAACCGGACCGGTTTTAGGACCGGGGGCTGCGGCAGCACGGAAAGTGTTAGTCCTGGTTTTAGACCTGGTTTTAGACCTGGTTTTAGACCTGGTTTTAGACCTGGTTTTAGACCTGGTTTTAGTCTTGAGTTTAGACCTGGTTTTAGACCTGGTTTTAGTCCTGGGTTTAGTCCTGGGTTTAGTCCTGGGTTTAGACCTGGTTTGAATTCTGGTTTAGAACACTTGCGAGTAAAAGCAACAAAATATTTGAAGTGCCTTTCGTTTAGACGGTGATGGCATTTTTGGGGCTTAAAAACGCAAAAATTTGAAACCACCCTCCAGAGTGGAAAAGCTGAATACGCTCCGCCGTAGCGTTTCCGTCTACACTGACCAAGACGCAAAACTCTGGGCAGATCTGCTCACGTCGCGTACGTGTTTACGTCACATACATCACCACTGAGCGTCACCACCGAGCCGCCTGACATGCATACACAATTGAATTCCACACACTTTTGCTTCACCGTATGCACGCAGATTTCCTCCCAAAAACCCTTGTCTAAACGTGGAATAAAAAGTGAAGATGCGACACCACTTTTGGGTCTTCTGTTCAGACCGTCATCATATAAATGTAGTCTTCATGTGCAAAGTTCATATAAAACACATTTTAATCATCAAAACAGTGAAAATGTCAAATGTGTCACATAAACGAGTTTCCTTCCTCTAATCAAGCAACAAAACTATAGCTCTGTAACAAAATAATTTAGTAAAACATACCAAAAACTACTCTTGGCGATATATCGGTGCAGCAGAACATGATATCGATACTGTATCATCACATTAAACAATACGATATATCAATATTTCAATGTTTTCGCACAACAGTTGTCACGTGTATGAGATTTAAAATCAAACTTACTTCCAGTTGCTTTAACATTTCTCCTCATGACTGAAAATCAAAGTGTTGCAGTTACAGCACAGACAGAGCCAAGTCACTGTGAAAGTAAAGTTTATTTACTTCACAGCTCAAACTCAAACTTTACATCTGTGATTTCAGCCTGTAGCACAGACGAACGGGGCACGAGAGCCAACGCCCCCAACAACAAAAACTAAAACCGTAATCAGTCATTCTTACAAGCAGTGCAATTGTCTCAAGAGTCATTTGAGATGGAGTTCTGATTTTTACAGAGCGAAGCATGCGTCTGGTGTGGACAGATGGAGAACTGAACCCAAAGGAAAGAGGAGGCGCCCTGATCAGAGACACAATCCTTCCTCTGTGTCGCTGAGAACCGGCCTCATGCAGCTACAGTCAACTAGTCCGTCTCTGATACTTTCTTGCCCCTTTTGTTCGCCTGAAAATAGAAGAAAATGTGAATATCAGACTGGACTGAGATACAAAAAAATGCACAAAAACAAACACATTATAAAAGTAGACTATGCAACATTTCTGGTGAAGGCCATGCCACTTTCTTTTCTCCAATGATGTCTTTTCTTTGCCTGGGATATTCCACAGTATGGCATTAAAATGATCTATCCCTATGGAGACCAGCAGGTGACGCCACCGGGCCAAGTTACGGTTCGCGCCTGTGGAGAGGCAAGCTCACTGACGTAAGAAACAGAATGCATGTTTTTCAAGTTGATTTTTTTTTTTTTTTAAAGAATGCAAGACCGATGAATTTAAAGCCCCACTGTGGAACATTTTAACAGTGCAGAAGTGAAAACATTAACAACTAGAGAGACAGCAGGAGGCACAGAGGGAGCAGAGGGAGCAGGGGGCACAGAGAGGAAGCAGGGGACAGACAGAGGGGCACAGAGGGCAGCAGAGGGAGCAGAGGGAGCAGGGGCACAGAGGGAGCAGGGGGCACAGAGGGAGCAGGGGGCACAGAGGGAGCAGAGGGCACAGAGGGAGCAGAGGGAGCAGAGGGAGCAGAGGGAGCAGAGGGCACAGAGGGAGCAGAGGGCACAGAGGGAGCAGAGGGCAAAGAGGGAGCAGGGGGCACAGAGGGGCAGGGGAGCAGAGGGCACAGAGGGAGCAGGGGGCACAGAGGGAGCAGGGGCAGCAGGGGAGCAGAGGGGAGCAGGGGGCACAGAGGGAGCAGGGGGCACAGAGGGAGCAGGGGCACAGCAGGGGAGCAGGGGGCACAGAGGGAGCAGGGGGCACAGAGGGAGGGGGCACAGGGGGCACAGGGGCAGAGGGGAGCAGGGGGAGCAGGGGGCACAGAGGGAGCAGGGGGCACAGAGGGAGCAGGGGGCACAGGGGGAGCAGAGGGAGCAGGGCAGGACTGGGACAGAGATATTTAATGTCATTGTACTTTTTAGAACTCTGTATAGATCGCACTGTTTAGGCTATTTTTGTATTCTGTGTTTTGTCATTTTCGGGAACTGCAGCTGGAAATTAATTCCGAGAGCTACAGTCTGGTACAAAGCATCTTTAGTTTATTTGACAGGGACCATGTACTGGATGATTAATCAAAAAAATATTGTAATTTTTTTTTTTTAAAGCAGTTTTTATCCGTCATTAGACTGAATATTTTGACACAATATGGAAAAATACTGCTGTTATCCTTATAAATAAAATCATACATTGAAAAAGTTTTATATGTGCCACAAGAATTGTCCTAGCCTCAGTTAAATAGTCATACTGTCATTGTAACTCTCTACTCTCCAATACCATTTTAGGACGTGTCACTTTACTGTAATATTCACATTGGGCATTGTTGCAGAGACTAAACTCTTGCTTTGTCTCACCTGGTGTTTGGGCTGGTCAGACTGGAGACCCTTCACTTTGGATCGTTCTTGTTCAAGAGCAGCATGAAGCAATGAGACCTGAAAACATTTGAATTATTAAGATTGTGCATTGTACTTAACGGATGTAATATTTTCCGCAGTGTAGCTTTTGTACCTGTGACGAGAGCTCCTCCTTTATGTGTAAAAGCTCTTCCACCTGTAGAAGGATTTCTGCTTTGTCTTTCACTGAAAAAGCAAATAAGTGTCAGATATTTAAGAAAAAAAACCAGCACAGTATAAATTGCACAAGAGGTTAAGCAGATGAGATCAAATATTCAGAATTTAAAGAACGAGTCACAAAAATTTTACAGAGGATATTCAATTTTTTACTTAATTTAAACTGACTTAATCTTCAACAAAATGTGATACTAAAAATGACGCGTAAATATTCAGACTTGAACACTCACTTTCTCCCTGCTGAAGCATCTTGAGCAGCTGAGAATTTCTGGCTTTGACTTCTTTGTACTTCACCTGTGACATGAGAACACAAAGGTCATTTAAAAGGTGCACTGTGTAACTTTTCTGGTGGGGAATCAAATGCTTTTCTCCATGGAGATGTTAATGCTTTGTCTGGAAGGTTTCACAGAATGGATTTTAAAACTTTCTATCTTCATGGAGACCAAACCAGACAAAGTTATAGATCTGTGGAGAGATGAACCCGCTCAGTCAGAAAGGTGTTTATGAGCAAAAAAACAAAACAAAAAACACCTGTAATTGAATTAAATTTATTCAATTACAGGTGTTTTTTTGTTTTTTTATACGTACTGGCTTCTGACTATGGGAGCCGTAATGGTCCGACAATCCATGAAGCGACGCTGCATCGTAGTTTACCAAAGTCACACTAAAACATTTTGACAGATTTTTGATCGCCGTGTACCACATAAAATCGGTTCGAGGTCAGAAAACACAACCAGAATTAATACCCCCCCCTCCAAAAACGGACTTGCATGATTCACGAGTATGGTATTTTTATGTCTGAAAATCCAGAATTCCAAAAAAAAATCCGGAAAAATCACATGGATGATAAATGTACACTACCGGTGAAAAGTTTTAGAACACCACATTTTTTCCAGTTTTTCCAGTTTATTGTGTTATTGTACTCTGAAATGAAAGCATAGAAATACAAATAAGCAATCTGAGTTGAAAAGGAAATCATGGACTCAATTATTGACCATTCTATAAATTCTAAACTTTTGATTCATGGAAGTGTCCACCTTTGGCAAATATAACAGCTGAACACACTCGTGGCTCGTTCTTTCTACAATAGAAATCAAATATTCTTCAGAAAGTTCTTCCCCAAGTCTGTTGCAGAAGTTTCCATAAATGTGTGGCACTTGTAGGTTGCTTCACTCTTCTGTCCAGTTCATCCCAAACCAGCTCGATGGGGTTTAAGTCTGGACACTGTGCTGCTGGACACTCCATGTTTTCAAGTTTACCATCTTGTTCTTTTTTCCTGAGGGAGTTTTGGCAGAGCTTGGACTCATCTTCTCCTTCTTCTATCTTTTTTTTTAACCTCTGTTTGTTCAGTTTTTACCTTTGTACCATTTCAAGCTCTTCATTAGACTTGCACGACTTGAATTGCGATAAATAACTGGAAAAAGCAGTGTGTCCTAAAACTTTTGACCAGTAGTGTAAGGTAGATCTGTTTAATGTCATATTGTGGAACATTTCAGGCAGAGCAATGACATCTCCATAGAAACAAGCAGGTGACAGACCCCCAACCAGGTCACACTCTGAGCACAATCTGCAAATGCTGGTTTATTTATTTCTACACCAGTTTTCTACCAGTAGTCAGAAGGAAAGGACAATTTTCAGAC